CATTTCCAAAGCCTGCCCATCTTCCAGTATGGAGTGTAGGTGTACTTCCAGCTCATTTGCATCAGTCACTTTATCTCATTTCTGGACATGTGCAAATATGGTCATCTGCTTTTTTGTGGGGAGCATATTCAGAGGTTATCTGTGGCCTTAATACTTAGATGGGTGTGTCAGAAGTTTCAAGATACCACTGTTGGTCGTTTTGACGTAACTTAGGATTTAATTTTCGACCTATTTCCTGTTTTGTCTGCTTGTCCCGCTCCACGATCCCCATTCAGGCCCTTTTTCTAGTTATAAACAGTTCAGGGCCGGCTGTGGCCGTTTGATTTTAATTGGAAGCTGTCTCTTTAAATTTTGAGGAGATCTGTGTGTATGAGTAGTAGAACCCTCTGAGGGTGGGGCTGGGGTGTCTGCTAGCTCAGGCACCCCTATAGTTACCAGAATGGAGATGCTCAGACAGCAAGGGACCAATGAACAGATACCAAAAGACAAGAATGTCTTTATCTCTGCCAGGCGTCTGTGGCTGCTCAGATCCTTCCCCTGCTTTTTCTCACCCAAGATGGCGGCTCCTGGAGCAGCTGAGCATTCTGAACTAGAAAGCAATGGATCTCTTGCTTCTGCCACAAATTCCCCAGCTAAGCCTTTCAACCTTATAAATATTCCTTTATATGTGGTTCAGAGTTCTGGGACCAACCTTATAAATATTCCTTTATATGTGGTTCAGAGTTCTGGGACCATCCCCTGAGCCTGCTTGGTCTGGTATTCTGGGTTGTTGCTGGCGGAGCCATCTTTGTTGTCTGCACCTACTCTTTAAAGAGGTCTTGTGCAGCAGATTTGCCCAAAAATGTGTCGTTTAATTTCTTGACTACTGCTTCCCTGATAGTTGATGGTTGATCAGAGAAAAATGAAGTCTCTGACAGCTTCAATCTTTTCTCCATTGATATGGATGTTGTTTATTGGTCCAGTGGTGAGGATTACATTGAGGTACAGCCCATACTGAAGGCTGTCGTCTTTGATCTTTATCAGTAAGTATTTTAAGTCCTCTTCGCTTTCAGCAAGCAAGGTTCCAGCATATTGCAGTTTGTTAGTCTTTCTCCAATCCTTTTCTTCATATAATCCAGTTTCTTGGGATTATTGACTCATCATATAAACTGAATAGGTTTGGTAAAAGAATACAACCTTGGTGCACACCTTTTGCTAATTTTAAACCATTCAGTGTTTTCTTGTTCTGTTAGAAGAACTGCCTCTTAGTCTATATAAAATTTCCTCATGAGCACAATTTAGTGTTCCGGAATATTCATTCTCTACAATGTTGTCCATAGCTTGTCATGAACCACACAATTGAAGACTTTGCATAGTTAATAAAGCACAGGAAAAAATCTTTCTGGTATTCTCTGCTTTCAGTCAAGATCCATGTGATGTCAAAAATGATATCCCTCATTCTATGTCCTCTTCTGAATCTGGTTTGAACTTCTGAAAGGTCTCTGTCAATGCATGCTTTCAGCCATTTCTGTATTGTTTTTGGCAAAATTTTACTTGCATGGAATATTATTGATATTGTCTGATGATTTCTGCATTTCATTGGGTCAACTCTCTTTGGAATGGGCACACATATGCATCTCTTTCAGTCATTTGGCTAGGTAGTTGTCTTCCAAATTTCTTGGTATAGCTGAGTGAGTACCTCCAGTGTTGCATCAGTTTTTTGAACTATTTCGATTTGTACTCTATCAATTCCTGGTGTCTTGGTCTTTGCCAATGCCTTCAAAGCACCTTGGACTCATGTTAAGTATCATTGGCTCTTGACTATATGCTACCTCTTGAAATGGTTGAACACTGACCATTTCTTTTTGATATAGTGACTCTGTATTCCTTCCATCTTCTTTTGATGCTTTCTGCATCATTCAATATTATGTCCATAGAATCCTTCAGTATTTGTGAAATAAGGATGTAGTTCTGGCTAGGTGGCTGTGTGTGTATGTGTGTTGTTTGTTGGAGGGCTGTAGGTCTCTGCTCATCATTCCCCTCACCTGGACCTTAGAAGCTATCTCATGGTAACTAATGAAGCTTCATAGGGTGGCCCTGGACTGAGGTCGAAGGACCTGTAAATATGGGTCCTGAGGTGCATAGGAGTGGAATGGGATGTGGGAAAGAGAGGAGCCTCAAACTAACTTGATTCTGCCTGGCAGAGGAAGCTCTATTTCTTCCATTCTCCCATCCAGCATCTGCAAACTCCACATGCCTGCATCCTTGTGGAACACAACCTGTTGTTCAGTGCCATTTAATCAATTTTGACTACTAGTGACTCATGTGGAATCCTGGTGTGGTGCTGCAGGATAAACACTGGACTGCTAACCACAAGGTCAGTGATTCAAACCCACCAGTCACTCCTTGGAAACTGTATATACAGGGTCACTAAGTGCTGTGGTTTAATGCGCTGCACTGCAAAGTCAGTTTGAACTGCTATGTCGGCAGTTCAGGCTCACCAGCCACTCCTCCGGAAACCCTATACAGGGTGGATATGGGTCCGAACCAACTCAATGGCACTTAACAACAACAACACAATAACAACAGTGACCTCATGTGACAGAATAGAACTGCTCCATAGGTTTTTAGGCTGAAAGTTTTACAGAAGCATGTCACCAGGCTTTTCTCTTGTGGAACAGCTGGAAAAAAACCAGGGTTCCTTTGTTGTTGACTCAAAGCATCCCTGTATAGGGTTCCCAAGGAGCGGCTGGTGAGTTTTAACTGCCGACCTTGTGGCCCAGTGCATTTCTTCACAGTGCCACACCATAACTCCAGGGTTCCTTTAGCCTTTGTAAAATTGTTCCTCTTTGCTGGAGAATATTTTACTTTCCTTCTCTTGCAGTTTTGATGGCATCTCCTCCAGAGAGCCTTCCTGGGTTAGAGTGCCCCAGACTCCTCTTCAGGTTTCACAACCACCTTGCTATAATCACCTTAACAGACTTCATCCAGATACTTGACTCCCGTCCTCTCTTTCTCCACTCTCCAGCCTGGTGCTTGGTGAGCACCTGATGATAAACTGCACAGAGCGGTCACACCCATTCCAGGCAGGAGACCGCCACCCCACCCCCACCCTGGCAATGGCAACGTAAAAGCGGCTCCATTTCTGAGCCAGAATTGGCCGGGAAATGAATAACACTCAGGGAAAACCAGGGCGAGGTTCCTGCGTTCCAGCGTCAACATGTCTAAAGATAGTCACGCAGGGCAAAACTAAAATGAAACATCCTTGAGCTAAAGCCCAGACTGGGGTTCCCTATGACCTTCCCCACTTCCGCTTCAGGGATGTTCAGACACTTGGGATAAGGCTTTCTCAAACCTCCTAGATCGCCCACCCACCCTATTTATAAAGGGATTGTTGTTGGTAAAAGCCATCGAGTCAGAAACCGTCAGTTGTTCCTCTACTGCCCCCATGTGGCCATGTTCACGGCTGACCTTAGGCCAGCGCCCCTTGGCGGTGATGTTGGGTGGTGACACAGCAGAGGCTCCCAGGAGTGCTTCTTCCTTTCTCCCCCTCTGCCAACTTAGCTAGAAGGCTGGAGGCAAGCTGGGGGTGGGGTGGGGGATAAAGGGTAGCGAATAGGGCTCTGCAGTGCTGAATATCGATGCTTCTTGACTTAAAGTCAGCTAGTACAGCAGCACCTATCCAACTGCCTCTTGAGGGTTAGTCACTCTGCCCTCCTTAGGTTCTCACTTTCCTTTGGACACTTCACATAAGACATTGATCACTTCACAACTTAAAAACTCTTAAGAACTAAGAACTTAAGAACTAACCAGCCTCTTTCTCCAACCCAGAGATCTTAGTTGCAGTTCGAGAGAATCTCTTTACTCACAATATGACAATATCACTCCACAACTTAAAAACCTTCAGTGGTTTCCCACTGCTAAGACTTACCTGGAATCCCAGAACCCCAGGCCTTGCAGATTTCTCCAGCTTCTTTGTGCACCAGTCATACTAGGTTCTTTACCAGGTCCCTTTACCAAGAACACCTTTCCTGTTTGCTCATCATCCCTCTCCTGAACTCCAAACAAGTACTCCCCACTCCTATTGTCCTCATTTGTGAACCCCCTGGTGCTCTCACCTAGGATAGGTGCTGAACTGCAGAAAAGCAGGATCCTACAGGGATCAATGAAAGTAGCAGGGGCACTTCCTGGCTGACCAGATCACCAATAGCTGTCAGGGATATCATCTTGCAAAGGCAAGGGGAGGAACAGAAGCAAAAGAGACCCAACGTAAATGTGCAGGGTAAGCAGCATCATCTACCCATGCTTATTGTCCCTGTCTCAACAAGCCCAGTTCCTACTGAACTACAGCAGCTCGTCAAGTAGCAAGCCTGTGGTTGCTTCCCAAAGACCTTGGGGTCTGGGTAGATAGTCTGGAGCTGTGATGCAGGGAAGGGACAAGGGCAAGTGTTATACTACCATTTCCTGGGACAGTAAGTAGAACCATTCCAGTGCACTCTTGGCCCATGCCGCCCATACAGGCACATTCTTCAACCTGGGTTGGTATTAGTAGCAGAACATATTAACTCAGCTCTGATACCACATGAGGAGAATCCCTTCTAACAGTATGAAGACCACATTCAGCTGACAGTTTTTCCTCATAAACACTTCCTAGGCTTTTCATGCTCCTTGGCCAATGACATGATTAAGTTGTGGCAGAACAGTCCTAAAAGAGTCTCATGGGAATGTTCATGGTGCCCCTTACAGGGGACAGGAGGCCTGAGGAGGGTCCTAGGAGTGCCTAGGAGACACAGCCTTTTTTTTAGGGCAGGGGTCAATCCTACCCTGAGGTCAGCAGGGCCTTCTCTCAAGCCTCTAGCTCACTTTATTCCAAGGAACTTGCTGGGTGGAGGTAGGGGCGCTTAAGGAGGGCAGCCTTTCAAGGGCAGTTTTCGCAGAGGCCTGTGGGATACAGGTAGGTTGGATTCTGAATGTCTGCTGAGTACTGGGCTATCTCACCCATGCTGGAGGGGCTCAGATTTCCCCCATGCTTATTGTCCCTGTCTCAACCAGCCCAGTTCCTACTGAACTACAGCAGCTCGTCAAGTACTTGTATGGTCAGGGTTACCTGAATAGTTGGGGCCTTTGGTGTATGAGGCTGGGGCCCTACATAGAAGTGAGAGGAGAGGTACCACAGAGGTTCACACTGAATATGGGGTTGGTGCTGTGGGGGGCAAAGTCAGTAAGATACCTGAGAACCCTTCATGTGGCAGGACCTTCAGAGGAACCAAAATATTTCCAGCTCAAGACCTGATTCTGAGCATGTATGGCCTGACCCCAGTGCAAGGGAGGGAGGAGTACAATCCAAGTATACATGTGCCCCTGTGTCTGAAGAAGATGTGCAGAGGCTAGGGAGAAGGATCTACTATCTCTATGTGTGAACAAGGGTGACTAATGAAATACACAGTAACGGGTCTGACAAATGGCTTTCACAAAGCATTTTAATGCACACACCAACCCACAGTACCCGCCTGCTGGCTGGGTAAGAAAAAGCTAGCCCCACCTGGAGGCTCCCATAGCTTTCCATGCCCCAACAGGCTGGGAAAGGCTGAGCCTGCGCACATTCCCATCAGTAGGTAAGGGGTGTAAGGATGAAGAGGCGGTCTTCTTCTTTGCGGATCCAGCGCATCAGCTTATGGATGGCACTCACTGCTGACGCTTTGGTCCCCAGGGGACTGTAGCACATATAGAGCTCAAAGGCACCAGTCACCTAGGGGAAGAGGCATAGGATGGTCATCCAGGCTGGTAATCCCTCAGGGCCCCTGCCCAGAACCCCAGTGAAGCCCAGCCTATCCCAGGGCTGCCTTACCCAGGCCAAGAGGTTCTCATTGGGTCCTGTGTAGTAGATGGTTTTGAGTGGACGGGAGGCATTGTGAGCACGGCTGTGCAAGTACTGGTAGAGGCCCAGTAGTCGCTCTTGCTCTTCTTCACTTGTATATGGGGCCTCAATCTCAGGGCTGCAGATGGGAGGGCAGTTTGCAAAAGGATGACTTCTGTCATGAGAAGGCTCTCTGGAGCTCTAGAAACACCTATTTCCAGCCAGGGAAACTCCACCATCTGTTCTACTCTCCTGGTGCCCCCTCCCCCACATCCCAGTTCAGGGTGTCTTTTCTAACTCTCTTGGAGAACTCAACCTGAATATAGGTATAAAAGACTGAGAGTGCACAGTCTGAAACAGAGGAAATAGAATGGAAGCCCACTGGGCCAAAAAGGAGTAAAGGGAGGAGAAAAACTGTCACACTTCAGCCCCACCCCCTTCAGTCCCTCCATTAAGGGAGGAGGTGGGGGAAAGGCTCTGCATCTGAGGCTACATCAAAATGAGGCTTAAGGCAGTTGCTCCTTAAGAAGCCTTGGTTCCAGCTTCCTTCCTGGGTATATTGGGCTAGTCTCTGTAATGAAGGAGTCCTGGTATGGTGCTGTGAGTTAATGCGCCAGACTGCAAAGCAGTTTGAACTGCAAGGTCGGTGTTCAAGCTCACCAGCGGCTCCTTGGAAATCCTATACAGGCTCACTATGGGTTGCAACTGATTCGATGGCGCTTAATAACAAAGTAACAAAAGGAGCCCTAGTAGCCTAGTGGGTTGCCAGCTGGGCTGCTAACCACAAAGTCTGCAGTTTGAATCTACCAGCTGCTCCAGGGGAGAAAGATGTGGCTTTCTGCTCTGGTAAAGACTTACAGCCTAGGAAACCCTATACAGGATTGCTGAGTTGGAACGGACAGGTGGCACACAACCAACAGGTAATGAAGTAAAGAGGTCTATGCCCATAGAGAGGCAAGTGATAGCAAGTAGGGGGTCTTAGGATGAGAGTAAAACAGATCCTGCATGCGGGTCCATCCCCAGAGGGGCAGTCAGCTTCAAGCTGCTCCTCTACCCCACCCCCAGGGCACAGAGTCAAACAGTTTCCTACCCTTACAAGCCTCCCTTGCCAATGCCCCCAAGGCCTTCCCTCACCTGGTGAACAGTCCTGAGCTCTTTGACTTATATAGGAAATGGCGCAGGTCTGGGATGCCCACTTGGGTCACGCTGTAGTAAGGAATGCGCAGTGCCTCACGTAGGGCCAGGTGGGCTCCACGCTTACGCAGGCGCTCCTGGAAACGTCGACGGCAGTCAGAGACAGCAAAGAAGTCCTCACGGTCAGTGGACACCAGTAGCAGGCAGAGGTCAGTATCAGGTTCCAGGTAAGAGATGTGTGCGTGAAAGAAGCCTGCAGCATTGAATTTGGGCAGGCACACAGGTGTCCAGGCCTCGCCCTCACGGAAAGACGACGAGGAACTGATGAGGTTGAAAAGCAAATGCAGATCAATGGGGTGTAGGAATTGGTCCTTGCGGCGTACAAGTGCCACAAGCTGGTTACGGGCCAGTAGGATGGAAAAGACAAGGCTGCGAGCCCGTGCCTGCTGCAGACTGGCACTCACGACATCACGCACTGTTGAAGCCAGGGGCAGACAGCGTGCAGCTCCCATCAGGAAGCTGGGATCTCGAGCCATGAGCTGTAGCAGGTTGTCAGTGATTCGTTCAGAGCCCGAGAGCAGACGCCGCAGGTCATAGTTCTGCTTTTGCTGGAAGATGTGGCTTAGCTGAGCACCAGTAAGAAGGCTCAAGATCTGGTAGTAGATATAGAGCAACTCCTGAGCCAGCTCCTGTGCTGACTGCCGTGTGCGCGCCACTGCCACCAGCACCAGTGGGCTCCGGCGGACGAATACCACTTTGTAGTCATCTGAGGGTGAGGGGAGGGAGTGTCAGCTAAAAAGCCCTCTCAGATCTGGCGCTGCTTCAAGCCCGCCTTCCTTTGTTGCCTGATGCTTCCTACATCCTCTCCACCCTGGTTCAGTTCTGCACACAGTAGGGGTGACGATAAAAACAGTAGCCCACTGCCCCATTTCCCATTGCCCCATGAAGGCTCCTGGCCTGTTCCAGTCATTTGCTTTACAGACTGGCTCCTGCTGAAACATGCAGGCTCTTCTGAAAAACACTTAATTGGCTCCCTGCTTCTTCTTCCCAAGTGCTAAGTCAGTTAACTGGCTAGGGTTGGGTAGGGATCAGGACCTAGGATTTTTGTTGTTATTGTCACTCTCCCACCCTCTCCAAAGGTAAAGTCCATGTCAGAGCCACCCTCGGCCCTCACAACAACTCCATGAGACAGGTAATGTTACTATCTCATGTATAGTTGACAGATGATCTTGAGGCTCAGAGAGAAGAAGTACATGAACTTGTCCTTGGTCACACAGTACATCCCAGCCCTCTAATGCATGAGAGTCCAAAGCGTGCTATGAGTTAATCCTAGCCAGGAAAGTCCCCACTGGTCCCCTTCCCAGGTGGCTCACCTGCATGGATGGAGCGTATGGCATTCTTGTCTGCCTCCAGAAAGGACACGAGAGCTACCATGACCCCCATGGTGCTGGAGAGTGCCTCCTCGGACCCATAGCGAGAATACACAGGCTTCCCTGCTTCACTCAGCACAAAGACATGTTTCTGGTGCAGGCGCCATGCCTCAGTAGCATCCTCTTCATCCCCCTCAGCTGTACCCTCCCTTGGGGGCTCGGCAGCTGGTCGCCCAGTTGCCCCTGAGGGCTCAGACCAGTCCTCAGAGCTTCCAGGCAGCATCTCTTCCTGAAGATCTCGAGCCACACCTGTTAGCTGGGTGCTCAGCTCACTAAAGTCTTGGCTGATCTGGCGCATGTCTGTAGGCAGTGGGGGGTGCCCTCCAGCACCTTCCTTGGGGCTTTCCCCAGATACCTCTCCATCCTCAGACTCAGTGAGGTCCTCATAGGAGCGGGCGTGGACGAACATGGCACCCTCCTGCCCAGCACCTGCAGGCAAAGCACTGGTGCTTAGAGGGGAAGCTGTTGCCTGCCACAGCCACTCTAGCTTGACTGTCTTGCAGAGGTCCAGCCACGGTGACCTCCTGCCACTGCCTGCCACAGTCGTACACTTTATAGCCCACCAGTCTCCTCCCATCACATTGGGAATAAGACCAAACTGCTCATGGTAGTGGTAGCAGCTCTTATCTGCCAATTTGCAGATCACCCAAGGTCTACCTCAGTCACACTGGCCTTCATCTATCTGCTCTTTGAACAGCCCCCACATACCCTACCACAGGACTTCTGCTTAGAAGGTACTCTCACCTGATAGCATGGCTGGTTCCTTGTTACATACACTTCAGTTCTCAGCTCAGATGATACCTCCTCATCTGACTTCCAACCCCAGGCACTCTATCATACTTTCTTCTTTGATGATCTAGTGTCATCCCCTCAACAGCAGGAGCCTGGTTACTCACTGCTGTGTGCTGAGCACTGTGTGCAGTAAATCCCTCTCTCTGGGAGTTGGTCCCCTCACCCCAACTCAGGCTGCAGCTTCTAACCATCTCTACTGTAATAGCTCCCCCAGAGCAGGGACTATGCCTTCTGTCCTTGACTGATTTTTTTTGACAAAATAGTTCAACAGATATATTCTGAGCCTCTATTACAAACTGGCAATGTGCCAGGCACTGGGGATACAATTGTCCTGTGCTCAGAGTTCACAGTCTTGTGGAGGAGAAAGATACATATAATATATACACCAAGAGATAAAATTTAAATAACTCTAGTGTCCTGTATAGAGTGTGGTCAGAGCAAGGCCTAACTTTGGAGGTGACATTTAAGCCAAGAGCTAAGGATGGAGGAGAAGGATGTACTGTAGACAGGGAACAGAAGGTGGAGATTCCACATGGGCAGCCAGACAGTGCAGGGTGAGTGGCATGTCATGAAGTGAAAAGGAAAGTGGGCACAGGTTGGGCCTCACTCCCTGCAGTATCCCCAGTACCTGGCAAATATCCAGTGAGTGAGTGAACAAATGTATGAATGAGTGGGAGGGAAAGAGTGGCCAGGAATCTGGATTCCCCTGTGGCTGCTCTATCTGTCAAGTGGCTGTGCCACACACCCTACCGTACCAGGCTCCATTCCTTGGGCCAGCCCTGGTGTAGGGCTTTCAGCTCTCTCCACACTCTGCCCATCAGAAGGAGCCAACGTGCCATCAGGGCATTCACTGCTTCTCTTCCTCTGCAAGTCTGCAGCCATCCCTCTGGCTCTCCTGTGGGGCAAACAAAGCCATTATGGGGAGTAAGGGGAAGGTGTGCTGTTGCTTGGGTAACTAGCTTAACAGTGGTAAATACAGGAAAGTTGACCCCTCTCCTAGCTGTCACTAAGGTGAGGATGCTATCCATTCTTCAGAGGATGATTAGGCTGTGTCGGAGTGAGGCCCTCACTTCAATCAGCGATTAGCTCCATGCCTAGCACCTGCCAGCCCAACACTCATCCACAACATGCCTCCATCTCCAAGCTTGCCTGCATCTATTTGGTTCACAACTGATGAGGTGACCATCATGGAGGAAAAGATCAACACCCTCATTAAAGCAATTGGTATTAATGTTGAACCTTTCAGGCTTGGCTTGTTTGCAAAGGCCCTGCCTAACATCAGCATTGAAGCCGCATCTGCAATGGGACTGGTGGACCTACTAGCACTATACCAGTAGGAGGACCTGCCTCTCCATCACTACTACCCCAGCTGAGAAGGAAATGGGAGCCAAGAAAGGAAAATGTAAACTGTCCAATGATGATGGCATGGGCTTTGGTCTTTTTGACTAAAACCCTTTTGTAAAATGTTCAATAAAAAAAAGCTGAACTCTTGATGAAAAAAAAGCAAAGGAAAATGTCCCTTACCAGGACTCATCTAACTCAAATCCCTGAGGAGTGAGTTCTTAGTACTTTTCTCTAAAAAAATTTAGTATCTCATTCTTTTTCTGAATATAAAAGGGAGATAAATTAATTGTAGAACACTTGGTAAACACAAAAGCATAAAGAAATAAGTCACCATGTTCCCACTACTCAGTTACTCACTATATTTCAGTGATTTTTCTTCTGTTGTTTGGCTAAATGCCATTGGATGGGTTCCGACTCATAGCGACTCTATATAGGGTCTCTGAGGAATGGCTGCTGGGTTTGAACTGCTGACATTGTGGTTAGCAGTCCAGTGTTTATCCTACAGTACTAGGATTCTTCTAATTTTTTTAAATATGGATACAAAATGTCATTTGTTTTAATTTTTGTTATTTTAAGCAGCTAACACTGAGTACCAAGGTAGCATGCTAAGAAGTTTACCTGAATTAAGTTGTTTAGTCCTGATCACTCCTTTCTGAGGTAAAGGTGCTTCTGTCAGTCTAGCTTTACAGATAATGGTACTGAAGGTAAGAAAGTATAGGGTCTAAAGTAGCTCTAGGGTTACCACAGGAAGGAGGCATTGGAACTGGGAGTTGAAATAATTCTGTATCCTGTTACATGTTATAATGTATAACATGTTACATGTTATAATGTATCATTCCACATTATAACATGAACATTTCCTCATTCAAGACTGAGTTCATCAATAGTTCTGCTTCTTTTTGGATATTTAGGCGATTGCAGAGAAAGAAATGAGTCACAGAAAACAGGTTGATCTTCAGGCTGGAGCCTTGCTTTTCTTGGACTACCTTTTTGTACCTTTCTAATTTGGCACCAAGGATTGCCTTTCCAATGAAAAACAACAGGCACAATAGCTCTCAGTGCCCATTTGATGGCCAGGAGAGACTCAGTCTGGTCCCCTGGTCCCTCCTCAGTCTCAGGGCCAAGTGGTGATGGCCATGAGTAGACATTAGGGTAACCAAGTTGGTTAGCCCATGTGGGGTCGGCCATTACCAGGGACCCTCAGTGACAGGCTGAGAGGTCTAGGGGAAGGGGTTCCATTAGAGGTACCAATACTTACGGAAGGGCAGTGGAGGCCAGCTGAAGTCTCCTGAGGAGGCTTCTGCAAGTAGGCCAGGGGTCTAGGAGAAAGAGGTGTTAGTGTGAGCAAGACAGACCACACCTCTGCCCTCCCAGAGCACAGGGTCCAGTGGAAATAGCTGGCCTTGTCTTTCACTGGCTCTATGACCTTGGACAAATGACTTCACCTAGAGGCTGCTCAAAAAATGTTCATTAAAAAAGTAATCTATAAGATCCCCTATGAAATTAATTGAACCTCAGCATAGTGATCCTGCTCGGTCAACTTAGAGCAGGTGGTGGTCTGGCAACGTCTTGCATGTGGGGTCCCCACCCAGTCTCCTCCCTCCCTGCCTTCTTCGGATGGTGGCTGTTTATGCTGGACGTGTGGCCAGAGATGGGTAAGGATCACGTGGAACCTCGGCAACCTAAGACAGAGCTATTGCCATGCTGCAATGAGTTTCGATGACGGGTAAGACGGAGGAATTCGCACTGACCGCCTAAGACAGGCAGCGTCCCTTAAACAAATAATAAATAAGGGTGAATCTGTGGCAGACAGTGCAGACCCGGTCAGGAGCTCAAGACCCTGTGGGCCCAAGCGTTGCAGACCGTCCAAACCATAGGCTCTGATGATCAGACTTTGGTCACCTAGCAAACATAGCAAACTGGCCCTCATCTGATTATTCAGTACGCTTGCTAGTAATCTCATACATGAGCCCTGGATATCCACAGATAAATGTAAAAACCTTCCCTAGAAGCCAAGACGGTAAAGTCCAAAATGGCAAAGTTTTTCCACCCCCACCCCCCCCAAAAAAAAGCTAAAGAGGATAGAGAGACACTGTTAACTGTGGTATATGGAGGGGATTATAATCAATGTAATGAAACAAGTTATATGAATGGTTGAATGTGAAACTGATGTTGCGCCCTGTAAACTTTCACTCAATCCACAATAAAAACCTTAAATTAAAAAAAAAAAAGTAATCTAAAAAAAAAAAGGTAATCTCAGACAGAGCCCCGTCATGATTGAAGTATGAGATTGTCTGGCACTGAGGCACCATCAGTAGCATTTGTGTTGCTTCAGCTTGTTTGTGTCCAAGAACATGCTCTCTGGAACACCCAAAGTTTCTGCCAGGCATCTCCTGTGTGTGATGTGCCTAAAGAATTGACTTTTAAGCTCTTTTCTGTCATCTTTGTTTTAAGCTATGGAATCCTTTCTTCAAAGAAATCTTTTATAGAAGCTCAATGTGCAAATAAATCACAAATAGGCATGATTGGAGACTGGCCTGTTTGTTGTCCAGTCCTGCACTGAGCCCTGTCATACCATGGGGGGGGGGGGGTAGTGTCAGTAGCCAATGATATCACTCCATGCAGAGAAGGACAAAAGGAAGATTATTTGGGAGGCAGTTCAAACCCAACAACAGCCCTTGGAAACTCTATACAGTGTCAACTTGATAGCATTTAACAACAACCTTTTGGGATTTTCTAGGCCCCAATCAACAGTTACGACTCCCAGTAAGGGTCAGATCTCAGAAAATCAAGACATACAACGCCTTGCCTAACGATAGGTCAGAGGAGCGGAGAAGCTAAAATGTCCTCAATAGGAACCTAGGGAGGTCCCTCAAAGTGAATCAAGAGAAGTAATTCAAAACAGAGCAGCTACAACACAGAGCCTAAGACAGTAAGTAGGTGCTAAGGAAACTAGGGCATGTCTAGGTCTCAAGCAAGAAGATCCAGACCACATGAGAATCTCAAAGATCAATATTTCACAGACCTAGTTTTCATCTTCGAAAATCTATTGCTCATTTGGGATTGTGTAAAGCACTGTAATTTTTCCACTGAAAATAATGTGAAATAGACTCCCAGTTATGGTTTCCAGCAGAAAGTCTGACTTTCACGAAACAGATTACTAATGTAAGTGACAAATGCCTATATTTGGAATCTGACCACTTCTCTCACTTCCACCACTACTATGTTCGTTCAAGCCATCATTTTCTGTCTCCAAACTGTTGCTAACAGTGTCCTAAGAAGTTTCCCCAGTGTCCTAAGTTGCCTCTGTAGTCTCTTCTCACAGCGCTCAAATTGATCCTCTTGAAATAGAAATCAGGTCATGTAATTCATTTACTTACAGATTTGTAATGGCTCCTATACCTACTCAAAGAGAAAAGGAAGAACCAATTTGCTCACAGTGGCACACAAGAGCCTACTCATATTGGCTTCCCAGTCCCCTCCATTACTTCTTTGACCTCATCTCCTAACATCTATCTCCCTCCACTCACTCTGCTGTAGTCCTGGCATACTAGCCTCATGACTTTCCTAAGCATCCTGAGCACTCTCTCACTTCAGAACTTTGCCCTTGCTGATCTTTCTTCCTGGACTGCATCCCCCTGCCTCCCACCTTACCTATTGTACTTCCTGGTTAGATATTAGCATGACTCATTCCCTCACATCCTTCAGGCTGCCACTCAAGTGTTACCTTATCAGAAAAGCCTTTCTGCAAGACCCTTGTTCCTTACCCTTTATTTCTCTCCAATGAAGGTCACTTGTTATCTGCCACAAACTTCAGTGTCTTCTCTACACACAGGAGTTAAATCAATGTGTACCAAATAAACATATTTGGAAGACAGAGGTGAAAGTTTTGCAGTGAATATTCCACTCCTTCACATCTACAATGTGGCCTCTGAAATCCCTGCCTTGTCCTTGGTAGTAATCAAGTGTTCAGGAGCAACAACTGAATTGACCTGGTGCATTTTTCTCCTCTGTAAAATACGGATAATAATAGTAGAAATTTATTGAGTTGTGGGAGATGAAAGAAAATAATCCATGTAAAGTTGTTACTCTAGCAGAGTAGGCACTTGTACACTTATCTGCTACCACTGTTGTTGTTGTTGTTAAGTGTTGTAGAGTCAGTCCCAACTCACAGCGACCCTGTATAGGGTTTCTGAGGAGTGGCTGGTGGCCCAGTGCATTACCCTGCAAACTGACCTTGTGACCCAGTGCATTACCCTGAAGCGCCATACCAGGACTCCACTTATACACTTAGCTGCTGCCACTAGTATATCACAATTATTCTTACTAAGCATTCATACTAGGAGTTGTTCTTAAGTGGTGTCAAGTTTCAACTCAGAGTTGCCCTATATAGGATTTCCAAGGAGTGACTGGTATGTTTAAAACATCAGTTTTGCAGTTAGCAAGTCTAATGTGTATCCTACAGTGCCATACCAGGATTTCATATTAGGAGTGTTATTGTGTGCCATCAAGTCAGTTCTAACTCATAGCAACCCAATATAGGGTTTTTGAGGAGCAGCTGGTAGATTTGAACCATTGATCATGTGGTTAGTAGTCCAGTGCTTATCTACAGTACCATACCAGGACTCCATACTAGGAGTGGTGGTGGTGGTGGTTGTGTGCCATCCCATCAGTTCTGATTCACTATATAGCATTTCTAAGGCTATAAATCTTTACAGGAGCAGAAACCCTCATCTTTCTCTTGCAGAGCAACTGGTGGATTCAAACTGCTGACCTTGTGATTCACAACCTAACTCATAACCCACAACTCATACTCCATGCTAGGAGTTGTTGTTAGTTGGTTCTGATCCTTAGCCACTCTGTATACAGTTGCCAAGAAACAGCTGGTGGGTTTGAACTGCCAATCTTGTGGTTCACAGTCCAGTGCTGATCCTACAGCACCACACCAGGAGTCCAATCCTAGGAGTAGCTACCATCTAGTAGTCTCTACCACCTAATCAGCCCTTTGATAGTTTGCTCAGCCTGAGCCAGGCCCTGGTTGAATTGCCAAACATGCTTCTGGTCTCCTGAAGCCAGGTTGTGATTGTTGTTAAGTGCTTTCCAGTTGGTTCCAGTTGTAGTTGGTTCCGACTCATAGCGATAGGGTTTCCAAAGAGTAGCTGGTGTGTTTGAACTACCAACTTTGTGTTTTGAAGGCCAGTGCTGATCCTATAGCACCACACCAGGAGTCAGGTAAGGTGTGGCTTAAAAATGACCCACCTATGATGTCCTAACTGAAATGCTGTCAAAGACTGTAGGGCTGGGAGTACCTCCAGACTACCTGGTTATTCACCTTCCCTGGAGTTGCAAGGACAAACCATTGGCTCTCTGCTGCTTCTGGAAGTCTCTCCTAAATTGAACTTCTTGGTCACCACATGCCCCTGATCTTTGGCTCAAAGACCCCAAGGGCCTACCACCAACTGATCTCCTGTGGGCCTCACATGAGCCTATCATAGATAGCTAGGCTAACGACCTCAGGTGTGCAGGGTCAGTTAGCTGGGGGCTACTGAATGTCTCTTTCAGAACAGCCCCCTGCCTTCAAAGATTATTTAGCATCTCCAAGGCTGGGGACTCAACTAGAAGCTCTGATAAAACAAAAAACTCTGAATAGTTGCCCTGGAAGCTCAGGTAGTAACCCACAGCAAAGCCACTCCAAGCCTCCATTTATGCCATAATCGGTGTAGTTGAAGCTCCTGGGAGGCTGGGCCTAAAGCATTTAGACAAGGGAGGTCTGCTAGAGCCAGTCCCAGATTCCCCTATGGGGCCTCTTCTCAGACAACCTCTCCTGAAGTCCTAATTTCCCTAGAAGTGCCTCTCAGTGCCTGCAAGACAAGTCACCAAATAAGTTGGCTCAATCAATCCTTCCAGTGTGCCTCCCTTCCTTAAGCAACACTGGAAGGGGGTTGAGCCAGGATGGCCAAAAACCCCTCCCTTCTGGAACTGTACCCCCTTGGCTCCCTCTTCTAGCTTACAGAGTTCCTACTTTAATCCTTCAGGGAGTGTTCTAACTGGGAGGGTGGCATGGTGAATGCATCGGACATGTGGCCGGCAGGACCAAGGTGAGGCTGTGTTGTAATTGCTTCAGGAAATAACTACTCCATCAGGCTGAGAGGATGGCCTGGTCCTTGTCACTGCTGCAGCCACTCCCCTCTCTGACAAAGGCTGCTTACCCTCCCTCAGCAATCTTGACTTCAGAAAGGGTGGCTCAGTGGGTACAAGGTGCAGTTTGATTATCTTGGGCTAGGGCATCCTTGAGAGCAGTCTCCAGCCCCTGTATCTGTCTAGGGGGTTCACGGCTCACCCAAGTCACCTCTGCAGCCCTTTGAGCTGATTTTGTGTGCGTTTCGGGGTGGGTGGTTATCTGGCCACTGCTCTGAAAAGGACTTCACTCTCCCAACCAAAGGATGGGTTCCAGGCCTTGCCTTTTGTGTTTCCCAGCTGAGAGGCTAGTGAAATGTGGGACTTCAGGGAGACCTGGTCCGTAAGTCATAGACGGCGGGACCCCCAAACCCTTCAAGCTTGAAGCCCTTTCTCTACTAAGATGACAACACTCGGGTAAATCTGCACCCCAAGGCCACGTGCGTAGGCAGTCGGACTCACCTGTTTCTCTGGGAGGCCCAGGATGCACAGAAAGTGCTGGTCACTGCCGTCTGCCAGCTTCCCGGGGGGTTACCAAAGCCCGACCCGGTTCCGCCTGAGGTCGCAGAATCGTGAGGCCACGCTTCCCTGAGGACGCAGACATGGCCAATGCGCGAGCACTGAGTCCTACCTTTGACCCTCGCCCACCAGCCGAACCAGGAAGACAACCTGCCCCGGTCTCTCGCGGACGAGGCCCGGCTCCAGCCTCTCGGCCCGGTCCGCCCCCGGGGTGCATTGTGGGAAATGTAGTCGGACGTGTGGGGTAGCCTAAGGCGCCCGGGACCCGGCAGAGAAGGGGGCGGGACCAGACCGGGTCAGGGTTGGCTCACCAGGTGCCGCCTTCCAGCGTTCACGCTATAGATCCCCAAATCCTGCACTCACTGCAAAACTGGACTACCCTGCGTTTCTGCCTAAATCAAATCGAGCTTTGTATCAAAGGAGGCAAACGAACGTAGTCTGTGTTTCCCCCAGTGATTGGGGAAAGACTAAGGTTTCAGGGACTAGATAAATGTCTTTACAAGCGAGCTGTCAAGGATGGGCATGCGCAAAAACTGAGCTAATCTTTGCCAAAAACATCCGTTTAGCCACGTTTTAGGATATTCTGTTGTTGTTGTTAGGTGCCATCAAGTCAGTACCAACTCATAGCCACCCTGTGAACAACAGAACGACACACTGCGGGGTCCGGGACAACCTAACAATCGTTGCTACGCTTGAGCCCATTGATGCTGACACTTTGCCAATTCATCTCGCTGGGGGGGGTCTTACACATTTTCTCTGACTCTCCACCTTACCAAACATGATATCCTTCTCCAGCGACTGGTCCCTCCTGACAATATGTCCTAAGTATGAGAGATGAAGTGTGGCCATTCTGGCCTCCAAAGAGCACTCTAGCTGCACTTCTTTCAACACGGATCTGTTTGTTCTTTTGGCAACTTTCAATATTCTCCAACACCATACATAAATCAAAAGCATCAATTCTTCTACGATCTTCCTTATTCACTGTCGAACTTTTGCGTGCATATGAGGTTACTGAAAATACCATGGCTTGACTGGTTGGTTGCACCTTAGTCCTCAAACTGACATTTTGCTCTTCAACACTTTAAAAACGTTTTGTGCAGCAGATTTGCCTAATACAATACGTCGTCTGATTTCTTGGCTGCTGCTTCCATGAGTCAGTTGATAGCTGATCCATGAAAAATGAAGTCTTTGACAACTTCAATCTTTACTCCATTGATAAGAAAGTTGTTTATTGGTCCACTGATGAGGATTTTTGTTTTCTTTATATTGAGATGCAATCCATTTCAATGGCTTGCATCTCAAAGGCTGTGGTCTTTGATCTTCATCAGTAAATATTTTAAGTCCTCTTCACTTTCAGCAAGCAAGGTTGTATCATCTACATATCACAGGTTGTTGATGAGTCTTCCTCCAATCCTGATGCCACGGTTTTTCTTCATGTAATTTAAAATCTTGACAGCAGATGGTGGTGGAAGGAGTGTAAGTCAAATAATACTGTTATTTGACTGGAATCTTAAGAGCTCATGAGCTACGGTCATCTTAAGTTTCAGCTATTGGTCTCTCCCGCCCACAGGAAAGCAGAGTGATGAAATTGATGTTCAGAATTAATTAGTCCAATGGACTAATGGACCATGTGAGCATCAGTCTCCAAAACCCTGAAACTAGATGATGCCGAGCTACCACTACCAGCTGTTCTGATAGCGATCATTTTACACGGTACAGGATAGAGTGGGAGAAAAGTGGAAATAAAAATCAAGAAAAGAGTATTTTAAAAACAAAAAGATTAGACAGTAAGCACAAGTAAGCCTGTGCTTAGCTTGCTTACTGAGTACTCTTTCTCTGTTAGGAATTATAAATTTCAAAAGAAGCTTTGATTCTGTAGGAAACTGCTATGGGACAGATGCCAGCAATACATAGAAACAGAATCTTTGATGTGAGGAAAAAATGAAACTGCTCACCATAAATTAGTAAGTAAACACAACTCAACTAAACCCATGCTTACTTTGCTTATTGAGTAATCTGACCCTGCATAGACCCATATTATAGCTCTTTTATCTGGGTCTAGAAAGTTCTCAGACAGGGACCCCAACCAAAGGACAGTCTCCTATACAGGATCTTGATAATCATGAGGTGCTCTAAAAACAACCTCTGTGAGATTGGCATTTTATGTACACAACTTCAAGGTGAAACCCTCCCAACAGAACTGCAAATTGACCAACCCTCTGGGGGGGGATTACAAGCCATTTATACAGCTAGTAAACCAATCAATCCCTGCAAATTGCTTATGTAAATAATAAATAGGCCAATCACTTGCAAGATTGTAATCTGAACAATCGTTTTGGGAAAATTACAAAACCAGGATCAGAATGTCCATATGATAGAAACTCATTGCACTGAATTATGTTTTTGTTTTTGTTTTTACATAATTTTCAGTAATAGGAGTTGTTTTTTGGTTCCCTAACAATGAATGACCAAACTCATCTTGCATCTCAATTTTCTGTATTGTATGTATACATTACATGTTGTGCTTGGTGTTTTTATCTTTTAAATACTAAAAAATAATAAAGATATTCACAGATTATAAATCCACATCCATAAAACCATACATTTCCTGAGTGTGAATAATAGTAATTTAACAAGTCATTAAATTGATTATATGTCACTGGAAAAAAAAAGTATTGCTACTAAGTTTCCAGTTCATATATTCATGGGTTTATTTCAAACAAATGATGTTTAAACATGTCTCTGCTATTAGTGGATGACTGCAGACAAATTCTCTCAATAAAACGCTTGCCTTAGTCTCATTAGGAAGGCTTCACAATGAAAATATATTTTTTATGCCATAGACAAAATAGATTTTGAGGTCAGGGCTAATATAAAATTTTAAGCAAAATTCAAGTGGACATTTTCCCAAATCATTGAAGATTTGCAACAAGATTATGGGAATGTTGTCCCATCTAACAGGACAGTTTTCAGATGGATCAGGCATTTTAACGTAGGTTAAGAAGACCTCAAAGATGAACCAAGAGAGGGAAGACAGTCAACCTCAATGAATTAAGAAACTGTGACTGAAGTCCAGAAACTGCTGGAAGATAACCATAGAATTGCCATTGATATGATAACTACTAAAGTGGGATCTCACATGGTTCTGTATTGTCAATTTTAAATGAACTTCTTGGACTAAGCAAGTTTTCAGTTCGATGGATGCCAAAAGCATTACGCAAAGATCAGCTGGCTCAAAGAGGCGGTGTTTCTATCAGTCATTTAAGCAAAATCAAAGCTCATGAAAATGATTTTATAGAACAAATGGTAACCAGGGACAAGTCTTGGCTTTACCAATATGATCCAGAGAGCAAGTTCTAATCAAAACAGTGACTTCTCAGGGGATCTGTTGGGCAGAAAGGCAGCGAGTTCAGCTCAAAAGGTTATGGAGATATTTTGGAGGGATTTCAAAGGAATAATAGGGAGTCCTGGTGTGGTGTTGTAGGATAAGCACTAGACTGCTAATCAGAAGATTGGCAGTTCAAACATAATGTTCCTTGGAAACCCTATACATGGTCGCTATGAGTCAGAACTGACTCCATGGCACTTAACAGCAACAACAACAATCTTAATAGATTATCTTGAAGGACAAAGGACAACTATGGGAACTTAATTATGAAGAAAAAAAATTTTTAATTGAAAACTGCATTGGTGAAGGAAAAGTTAGGAAAGTTGTGCCAAGGAGTTTTTCTTCCCATCACTGTAATGCACCTGCTCATTCTTCCAAAATAGCAAGAACTGTTCTATGAAATTTTTCATTGGGAATCCTCATCTATCCACTCTACATCCCTGATCTTGTCCATTCAGACTTCTTTGTGTTCCCAAAACTCAGAGAACATTTAAAAGGAACATTGATTTGAGTCCCTCAAGGATGCAAAATTTGATATGGTATAAATCACAGTGCAGAAATCTTTGGAGAAGAGTTAGAAAGCTAGACGTATCACTTTCAGAAAAATTTAAAAAAATTTTTAAAAAGTTTTTTACCAGAAGAATAAAAAGAGAACTCACAGACTGGGAAAAGATTTTTAGCAATGACACATCAGACAAGGACTTAATCTCTAAAATTTATAGAAAACTTCAACTCCTAAACAAGAAAAAGACAAATAATTCAGATAAAAAAATGGGCAGAGGATATGAACAGATACTTCACCAAAGAAGACATTCAGGCAATCAACAAACAGAATAAACAGAAGCTAAGGGATTTTGCCAAAGCCAACCCTGCTCTGAAAAACATTCTAAAGGAAGTTCTGTGGACTGAGAA